CCCCAAAACCCCAAAACCCCAAAACCCCTCTTTATAAAATTTCGAAGATTAAATGTGTAGATTAATTTAAGTTATATCGAGTTTATTTTAAGACAAATATATTCAAAATATAAATTCTTCAGAGGCTTCCCACTCTTTGAGCACTTGGTCATCATTATAAATATCTAGATTGAGATCTCTAAGGTCGAATTCAGCGATTTTACCATCGCTTTCTTGCAACTTTCTTAAATCCTAATAATTCTTGAAGGACATCACTAAAATACAGGACAATCTCTTTTTCTTCAAATTATAACTATAGCCTCCAAAAACATCATTTGATTTAGCGAATAGCTTTAACCAGTCAACTATTTTAGTTTAAGCATTAATCTATGGCATTTTGCGACAGGAAATTATCTGAACAAATGTCATTCTTTCTTTTCTATTTTCATTGAAAAACATCTAGTAATATATGATGTAGTTTTTTACAATATTATAATACTCTTTTTTTTCAATCATTGATGCACCTGTCCATAATAATGGTTTTTAAGCATTCCTTTTCATGTATACACCTAACTTCAAAGGAATAGAAGAAAGAATTAGTTGTGAACTTATGCTTTCTGCTTCATTTTTTACAATTCTAGTTTCATCATCTTCTTCTATAGTTTGAGAGGATTAAATTGTTAAATCATTAATTTAATCTAAGATCAATCTTTCAGTTTTTGATCCATATTCAATATTCTAGTTTTAATCTTCAAAAGAATCAAAGTTTAAATCTTAAGTATTACCTTAATTTGTTGTTAATTCATTTGTCATCATTATTTTTGTCTTAGGTTACTTTACCATCTTTACCTCTTCTTAAAGATATTCATTGAGTTGCTTATCATTCCTGCGATAATTTACATCTTATGCTGCATTCATGTCCATCAAAGGATCATGTCTTTAGAATTGATTGTGGTTCATATTTTGCCTAGAATCTCGCTGCTATTGTTGTTATTAAAATTGATTTGGGAGATGATATTGCTGTTGATCTTGATACTATTGTTGGTACCGCTAATTATTTTGCTGATTAAACTGAGGTAGATTTGGGTTATCTTGTCCAAATATTGAAGAATCAAATAGCGGTTGCTGTTAGTTTTACTAATACTATAAAGGTTATCTCTGTTGTTGCTAGTTTCGATTTTAAATTGCCTGTTGTTGCTAGATTTAATTATAACTAGGAGGGTCTTGCAAGAACTCTTAACTTACATTTCTTTTCTAATGATCATAGTATACGCCAGGAGTGACAAAATTTTCAGGATCACCAGAATTGCTCTTCTATTTTGTTTACATTACTGGTTTATTATCCATTGATGTATCTCGAGATTTATGTAATAATCTACCTTATAAATCATAGTTATTAGTTGGTTATCTTTTATTAGGAACTCCTTCATTTAAATTTTGTTGCCCTACATCTTATCTTAATTAATTTGGACTTTTTTTTCGATAATTCTAATCTTATTATCTTTCCTATCGATTAAAATTGTTATTAGGATACTACTGCTGTTGATGGAAATAATTCCCCATATTAATATCATTAGGTTTAGCATATCCCCATTAGTTTTCAAATAACTATTCATTGGGACTAATTATTTTTTAAATTCTAGGATCCATATTACAATGGATACAGCATCTATTTGATGAGAGAGATCCTATTTCCTTATTCATAGCATAAATTCTATTCTCAGTGCTTTTGAATTTTTCTTTAACTTCATCTATAATCCAGTCTATCTTACTTTCATGAAATTTGATCTATGACGTTAATTATTATTGGTCTGGAATTATTCCAAAATTTCCTTAATTTAACGCTCCATAGCCAGATCCAGGCCTTGGCTCATTGCTAACTCTATTCAGATTCTATTAGAGCTGATTATAAAGATTTTGCAGATCATTTAGTTTTTAATCCTACTACTAGAATTTTAAGTCATATTCTTCTCTGATCTGTGCTACACAGTTGTGAGTTGTTCCTCTTCTATATTTTGCGCCGCATTATTAGCAGATTGCAATCTGATGCTATTATTGATTGAATTGTGACATTAAGATATTTGTGATCTAATTAATAATTATTTACTATTTAAATTCTAATCTCATTATTCCACTATAAATTTCTCTTGGGGTTTTGGGGTTTTGGGGTTTTGGGGTTTTGGCG